CTGAAATCATCTCTTGCCATAAGGACAGTAATAAACTGAAGACACCTTAACTGCTACAGTTCACACCAGATGGGCAAGCACACATCCGAAGTAAGGAGTTGGTTACTTACAGCTGTGCCATGTGTCTAGATCTTCGATTAATCTCTTGAGTGTATATAAACCCATCACCTACAATGGCTCAAACCTTCTGAGCGGAACTTTTCAGAGGTCAGGCTCCTCCCTTAATTCAAAATACATTTCTTAAGAATCAAGGGGCAGGTGAAATATAGCTTATTTTCATTATGCCTGTGTGTGTGGATCAACTTGTATGAAGCATCAGAGCAATGATGAGGCAAATAAAACAGTGACAGGGAGATTTTAAAGCAGTTGACTATATTCATGTAACACCCCTCCCCTTTTACTCCGCTAAACAATCATATGTATCTAACACCCACATCTCTAAAATGGGGGTGCATTTGGACTTTTTGAAACAGTGAGCTTAGTGCCTCACTTGAACACTGGTCCACTCTCTGACAGATATATTGGAGAAAAAACACACAGCATGTTAGTCCCACAAAATGCAATGTACTCGGACACTCTGGAGACACATCCCATCCCAACTATGCATCATGCTAGTTCAGGAGCAGATAACCTGTATTGCTTGGGTACACCTATGACCAATGGTTTGCAACCCTGAGGCATATTAGCATCACCTACAACACTTTTATAGTCCCGCCCCAGACCAAATAAATCAGAAGCTCTGTTCTAGGCCCCAGGCATTGCTGTTTATGTTCTGCAGGTCATTCTAATGTACAGCCAGGGTTGAGAACCACTGCTAGAGTGGTGGTAGCTATTGTGCCAATATTCAAGTATTCATGCAGGGTAGATTTTTAATTTGTGCTTTAATGCGGTAATTAACTCTTTAGTCTTCCCAAGGACATTTCCAAGTATGGTAAAACTGCCTATGTCTGTGTCTCTAATATTTAGCGTAGGAGGTTAACAATCACGTGTGTGTGTATGTGGTAGTGTGTGTGTGTGTGTGTGTGGTAATCCTGTAATTCTGCTTCCTATATAGCTTTTGAATTTTCCCCTTTTCCCCTGTTGCCACATTCTTAGTTCAGGTCTTCATCATCTCTCTAGTCTTGCTGCCCCTCCCCCACCTTTGGCTAGCCCCAGACACATCTATCTTTCCTCTCACACCCTCTTCAATGGATCCCCCGTCCAGAAAAATCTGTGTCCTCCTCTGGGGGCACAAGGCCTTTCATGATGAGGCTGGAGAGTCTCACCGAGACAAAGGTCCCTTGTGGGTCCTTGCCGGTCCCTTAATGAGCAGTTGTCGCCAGCTTCTGAGCCTTTGCCTGGACAGCTGGTACCTTACCCCATCCTGCCAGAAGTCCCCGTTCAAGGCTCTTCTTCCAAGTAAAACCTTCTCTGATCTTCCCACTCTTGTTCCCACTCCCTACGTCTTCACTGCCTATGCTAATACCTATAAAAGCCTTGAGTGTGTCTGCTAGAGTGAGTGAGTGCTAAAAAAATATAGTGCATGAACAGACATTTCATTTATCACACCATCAAAATTTTAAGTCTGTCTTCCCTATTAGATTCGAAGTTTTCTCTAGAGCAGTGGGTAACATGGTATGTAATACAAAAAGCAAAGCTTTTGGAGACGAGTTTGGGTTAAAAACTCTGCTCTATCATTTACTAGCTGTAGGATCTTGGGCAAGTTTAAGAGTTTCCTCAGCTACAAAATGGGAGTGACACCTCCTCAAAGAGTTGTGAGAATTAACATGATGTGTGTAATATCAGACACATAGTAGGCAAACAGCTATTTTTCCCCTTGCCTCCAATTTACCAAATACTCTGCAAAATTCCTAACACTGCACTACAAAGCTTGTGTTTTGGATTTTATGTTTCCAGGTGACCCACCATCTCAATTCTATAAAAGTTCCATTTTTGTCAGATTTGAAAACCTTCATTTTTCCCACCTTAGTCATCTAGGGAATATTATACCTATTATTTTATTTAATCCTCAACAGTTCTTTGAATTATTATTCCCATTTTTCATAGCCAAGAAAACAGGAGCAAAAAAGAAGGTAATGGATTTTCTTTCAGGAGGGCTAGGGCATTTCAGAATCCTGTCCATGGCCTCGAAGTTCTCGGCTCTGTCCTTTATGCCCATTGCCCTACACTCAGTCTTATGAATGCTTGCTTTTAAATGCAACCACTGCCCAGCTGGTGCAGCTAAGTGGGTAAATGTCGATCCATACACCAAGAGGTCATTGGTTCGATTCCAGTCAGGGCACATGCCCAGGTTGCAGGCTCAGTCCCCAATGGAGGCATGCAGGAGGCAGTCAATTGATATTGATGCTTCTCTCTCAATATTTCTCTCTCTTCCTCTCCTTTCCCCTCTAAATCCAATAAAAACATATTTTAAAAATAAATAGGTACATGCAACCACTAAGCTTTTTGAAATTAAAACCAACACTCCAATAATGATTGTTTTAAGGGCAAAAGTTATAGTAGTTATTTTAATTTTTAAAAAATAAAAAATATATTTAAAGACGAGTTTTTTTCAGCCCCATAATTTGGAACTGAATAGTGGCTGTCACAACCTCTCTGACTGGACTCAGCCACTTGGAGCCTTGGTTCCCTCATCTCTAACTTAAGAACAATGATAGTACTTGCCTTCTGCGAATACGAGGACTAAACGAGCTAACAAGTGCACTTCCAGTGCAGGCAGAGCAGGTCAGGCCCAGGGCAGGGCTCGGCATCTATCTCGCCAGAATGTGAGGTTGTCCTTTAATGTGCTCCATCACAGGAAAGAAGACACAAAGGAAACATTCACTCTTAAACACCTTTTGCTTCATTGAGAACTCTAATAACAAAAAGCACCCAGAGACAAATAAAAAGTAACTTTATTGACTGTTGATCTTATCATGAAATGCCTATAAGAATAATTACAAAATAATGTAGTTTGTTTTTTACACACTTTTGGTATCATCCTGATATGACGATCCTTTCACAGAAAGGATTCTTTACAATTTGTGTAGATAGAAAGCTCACTGTTGCAAATACAAATGTAGAAGCAGTGCATACCAAATCGGTACACTAACTTAGCAATGGACATTAACAAATGCAGAATAAATAACAGCTTTATACTTTTCTTTTTTTTATTTTTTAAAACAATTTCCAAATACAAAAATGTAGGTATTCAAAATGGATTTCCATATACATATATATACTTCTGCTGCAAACAGTGGATCACAAAACAAAAGTGTCCTCAGCGTGTTTCATTCTTGAAAACCCACAAGACGATGCACCAATCCAATTAGAAAGGTGTGCAAAACCCCCAACTGTGCTGGCAGAACCCTGAAGGCGCGACTCAGGTTGAAGTTGAGAGAAAATAAAGTAAAAAGCGCTACCTAGTCAATACATGTGTGTTTTCTTCTAGGTCTTTGCAAGAAACACTGAGAGCTGAGGAAACACGGCACGTTGTGACGGGGCTCTTTACAGTCCAACTTCCCCAGGACTTGTCCCTTCAGCATCTACAGGGAACGGTGAACTGTTTGATGACGTCTAAGAAAAACAGTCACTAGATGATGCTTTCACACTCTCACCCTTTCATACAGAGGCTGAGATACTTTTATACATTCTGGTATCTGAAACTTTGGTTCTTTCAAAACATTTGATAAAAGTACAAGAATTCCATGACTATACAACTCTATAGAATTTTTTTTTTTCCTTTTAAAGTGTCAAGTGAGACCGACTTGACCAGGCTTGTGTGCACACGGCCCTGCCACGCCCGCGCGGGCATGCGGGGCATGGCGCAGGTGGGGCGTGCTCCCGTGTGTGTCTGTAATACTGACTCCCATCCATGGGTAACACTGCGTGTCCTGCCGTCTCCTAAATCTACATCTTTGTTACCTGAAAACTTAACTCTGTATAAAAATATGACTGTTTCTTTAGAAAATAATAGTGTTGCTTTTTTTTTTAATAAAACCTGGAAGGTAGAAAAATGGTTTATCAAAATATGGTAAACAAATGCTTTAAATATGAAATCATTAAAAACATCTCATAGAAAGACACTGTGCTAAAGTTCTCTCCTAAAGAGCGAGCAAGGCTGTTGCATCTAAAGGCTAACGAGTTCATTCCCCAGATTTGGTTTCCTTCTATATCCTAACAGTAGTGGCAGAAACTGTCTTTAAAATGGCCCTTTCTCAAACACTAACATTTTCTGGATGCTTTTACGTCAAAATTAAAAAGACATCCTCTGGATCCATGGTTTTCAGCTCTGCTGATATCGGCTCCATTTGGAGAACTTTACAGGAAAAGGCAGTCCGCCTGGGTCTAATGAAATTCACTGGAGGTGGGACCCAGGCATTTTTTAAAAAACCTCTCCAAATAATTCTATTATGCAACCGGGGTTGAGAATCACGGCAAAAGACACATGAGAAATAGTCATTTTAAACTATATGAGTCAACTGATTGTCTGTAGGCAGCATTCATTCAATGACGCATCCTCCATATCCAACAAGACCGGCCACGTACATGAGACCGTCACGGAAGCTTTACACACATATAAACACGCACTATCTCATGTATTTATATATGTATAATAACATCTGGGGAGAGTTAGGGTATTTCTGGTTAAGCAGAAACTAGCATTACCATAATTTGTTCTTGATTTATTTAAAAAACAAACACTAAGCACGAACATTTTCTAAGACATTTCCGTAGTTTTTAACAGAAAACAGTGTTGGAAACTCTACAAAATACATTGTGACATGAACACAGTTGCTCTATTATTTTCTGGAAGAGCAGGAGGAGGACGCGGCGCTGGGCACGGGGGAGTCACAGGCGCCGCACGCAGCATGCCGTCTTCGGGCACTGCTTCGCTCACGCCTGCCGGTACCACCCTGGGCTGCACTTCTGTCATGTTCATCTCTTTGGCTTGCTAGACGCACTGATTCTGCAGTCAAATGCTCTACCACTGAGCTATACCCCCAGACGCACTGATTCTGACTGCTTCGCCAGGGTTCACACTGGTGCAGCCCCAGTGTGGCGGCAGTGGGTGTGGGCTAGGCCACGGTCCCTCCAGAGAAAGGAGACTCTTTTCTCCTCCCTCAAAACATGGGCATTTCATGAGGGAGCGATAAAAAAATGTACAGGCACACAACCCTGCCATCATGCCCATGATAAAAAACATGATGTTATTACGTGGGACTGAACTAAAAAAACAAAACGGTGAGCAAACACACCACGGTTCACTATTCTGAAGGCTGGGTAACCAGTAAAGCACATTTCCTTCCGAAGGCTCGTGAACTCCAGGCACTTGTCTTGCTGTACATTCTCTTTCACGTCTGTGTAATACTTAAAGTGCAATTGTCCCACGGCTTTGTTTCCGGCGCAAATATAAAGAAAGAGCTGTGTTTTGGGTGAGGGAGATATGGCACGAGGAATAAGAAAGAACTCATGGCTTTCACGGCCCCCGGGGAACAGGGCTGCCGTAGAGCTGCACGCAGACGTACTTTATACAACGAACTCCGGAACTTCGTCATGAGTGAGGTCCAGAGAAAAGTATTTGCTGGTTCTTTTGACTGGAAAAGCGTCCTGGATGTTGACACACTGCTGAGCCAAGCAGCTGTTGCAGTAGAGGCCTTCCTCGTCCAGTTCGTGGCCACAGCCGAAGGTGTAGCTCTGAGCAGTGTCTTGACACAGACCGGCGATGCGCAAGAAGTCTTTCTGGTAAAGTCTGATGTCATCGAGGCTCAAGCTATGCCGATCGGTGGAAGTCTTTGGTTTTCGACATATAGTCTGCAAAACAAGGGAAGTCTGAAACAACTTCAAGAGGACAGGTTCAAGTGAAAGGTTAGCAATAGCAGTATTTTCCTTGTTTACAGAGAGAGGCTGCAAAACTATATAAAGGGTTAAGGAACCCTGTATGTTAGAGAGGTTTCTAATCTAAAACACCCGGATCCCTTAGCAGAAAAATATCAGCACCACCAATAACAGGAATAGCAGCTAACATTTGCTGAGCCTTTATTATGCAGTGGTAGGCCCTGCTTTAAACACACTACGTGTATTACCAACTCAGTCTTCCTATGAGCCCTATGCGGCGGGTGCTATTATTCTCCCCATTTTACAGATGAATAATCCAAGGCACAGAGAAGTAAATGCGACAGGAAACCAACTCTCTCGAGCATCTCAGAAATCAAGCACTTGTCTTAAAATAAGGCTGCATAGGTAAAGAGGTTGTTTCTTTAGCATATGGCAGTTCAGTGTGGCAATGCGTTCATGCTGAGGTCTGTTATTATGTTAATAGGAAATGGGAAAACAAACTAATTATTTCTCCAGAAGAAAGACTAGAGAACTGTTTTGTTTTGTTGTTTTTTTTAAGCCAGAATTCTTGGGGTGGAAGAATAACCTGGTACAGAGAAGGTTGGGAGGCAGGTGCCAGGACTGAGAGGCAGCTCTTGAACGCCCCAAGGGGCCGTGTTCTGCCAAAGGCTTCACACAGCGGGTAGCAGACTATTGGAGTTCATTATCCCAAGAGGTGGTACTGGCTGAACATATGAATAGTTTTAAAAAATGGCTCAGATAATTACATAAATGGAAGATACTAAATGGGTTATTAATGGAAACGAGGCCTTATTCTCTCTCACTTAAGCTGCTGAACACCACAAAGGCCAACAACGCTGTTAGAATTAAGAGGCAAAAGCACCAGGAGGGAGAGAAGAGCGTCCGAGCCCAACAATATTTTACCAGGAAGTGTCACCTTGGAGCACTCCCTGGAGAGGACCATCCCCTGTACTGATGTCCTCCCAGGGCCCATGTGCTTTCACACGGAGAATTCCGTAGGTCATCACCACAAATCCTCACGGCGGGCACAGGAATGCTCTCCTCACTCTGTAGGTGAGGACTCTGATCCTTCGCTGTGCTCCACAAACATTTATGTACAATAAGAGCTAACACTTAGTGGCCTAGCAGGGTGCAAACCCAGGCAGTCTGATTCTGGAGTTCATGCCACCTAATCATGCAACACATACAGCTTTAAAAATTATGCATTAGAGTTCTCAGAAAAATATTTGTTGTTAAATATGTTTTCACTGATTTCAGAGAGAGGGAGAGACAGAAACACCAATGATGAGAGAGAATAATTGATCAGGTGCCTCCTGCATGCTCTCTACTGTGGATCGAGCCCACAACCTGGGCATGTGCCCTGACGGGGAATCGAACTGTGACCTCCTAGTTCATGGGCTGACGCTCAACTACTGAACCACACTGGCTGGGCTCAGAAAAATATTTAATAAAATATCATTTCACATTATGACTACATAAATGAAAGAAGAAAGGGCAAATAGGAAAAAAAAAAGAGAGAGAAAAAGGCAGTAGGCAAAAATTACCAGAATGCAGGAAAAAAATGGAAATAAAAGAAATACACAGAAGAAAAAAAAAAGAGAGAACCCAAGAAAAAGAGACATATAAGGAGAGATAGAGAGCGCTCAGAAAATAGAGGTCAATATAAGTTGTACATTTTATCCAAATACCGCAACCATGAGCTTTAGAGTATGTTAACTTGTCTATAACTTTTGACATCTTAGCCTAACCAGTGAACACAGGTTATCAAATATTCTCCCATAGTATACTTTGAAAGTTTACTCTGAACGAGAGAATCAGAGTGTGGAGAAAGACCTCTACCCAGCACACCTGACCAGTTGTTGTTGTCAATCAACACACACACACACACACACACACACACACACACACCGTCAGCCTGAAGTCTGGACACCTAGAGTGTGACACAAGGTGCATAATTTATCCAAAACCAAATCAACTCCAAGATAAATGGAACCAGCAAATAAACTGGAAGTCAGCTCAGAATGAGACTGTAATGCATGTATCTGGTAAGAATCATTTCCTCAGGATTTTTAATTTTCGCCTCTCTATATAAATATGCATGCTGACTTGCTATTTACAGTGTTCAGGTCCCTCCATACCTGTGGAAGAGAATCGGTACTCTGGCCACGAAGTTTGACAACTGTTTCGGAGGAGCTGGAGGTGGAAGAACCGATTTCTTTCACAATCAACCCTAAAGTAAAAACAGAATAAAAAGCAATGAAGATTTCACATTATTCATACCTCTTGCCACATATACTGTTGCTACTGAAAAAGAAAGATCAAATATGAACCATTATTGGAAAATCTCACAGTGATTCTTTGGTAGCAGACAACCAGGATGGAACACATTTTATCTTGTATCTTATAGGAAATTGGGGTGAGGGGTGGGTTGAGATGAATGTGGGTTTTGAGTATAGGAAGAAATTTAGAGCCTGAATTTTCTAAAATAAACTTCTAATGAAGCTCTCTGTGATGAAGTTAGTAGTAAAAACAAAGACCCTAGGGTAAAGGAGTCTCTTTACTATGTCTCCTGAAATCTTCCCACTTACCACATAACACCACCTTTGAACTTAATCCCACCTGAACAGTGACTTCTAGGTTTGGTCCACTTGGGTGTGCAGTGGGTAAGTGTGAGGGCTCTGGCCTCTCGAGTCACACAGATCTGGGTTGATCCTCGGCCCAGACAAGTAATCAGCCAGGTGTCCTGGCCAGTTACTTAACCACCCTGAGTCTCCTATCAGCCCCTCTTATACAGGGGGCTGATAGCAGCACCTATCAACAGAGTTTTATGATGATTAAAGAGAATGTGCATAAAAAGCACGAAGTACAGGGCCTGCACATGGAACTCGCTCAGTTCACAGAAGCTCTTCTTGGCCGACAGGGACACTGTGGCCCATACCTCCTGAGGCAATCCCCTCACTGGTAAGAGCCTGAAATGGGAGGCCACAGTGAAGATCAGCAGGGTCCCTAATCACCCCAGTGCTTAGGGGCAACCTGCTGAAACTTGGAAACAGAAATCCAGGACTGACACTTCCTTATGAGACTGCGGCATGTGAGTGAAGCATCCCCAAGACATGTTTCAGAAGGTAAAACAGCCAACAAGAGCTGGAGATGTATGGGATGATCACTGACATTTTTCTTGCAAACAGGTGAAGCAAGTGAGTAGGTCAAGTCCTTAAGGCCAAATAATTTAAGTACCTTCCCACCTTATTAAAAAAAACAAAACCGTATTGTGATTTTCATTCAGCCACTGTTAATAACCTATAGAAATAACAGTTTCTGTGTTAAATGCTTCCCTCGTACCCCCTCCCCACAAGCACTTTTATATTGTTTCATGCACACACATGCACACATGCACAGTGAATGAGTGTGCTATCTGTGCACCTATAACGTGCATGTAATTATGAGTTTATATTTAATACACATTGAAATGTACTTATAAGGAAAATTCAACCCAATAAAACAAATGGGCAGAAAGGGAGGAAAGCTGGGTGTAAGAACTAAGCTAAGCATGCCCAGAGCACCGGCCTGCGGCTCTTTGTTGGTCAGGCAGAGGATTCTGTCACCACCGCAGGTCTGTTCCTGGCAGAGCACCTGGAGGCCAGGGTTCTGCTGGGCCAGACAGTGGGCTTCTGCCATAAAGGTTCCTCGCGCTCTTGCAGAGTGAGTGCCAGGGTGGGGGGACTGTGCTGGCCTTATTCATCTGATTCCCTGCCCATGTGCATGGGAGAGGTGCAGCATCGGGGACTGTGGGTCTTTTTTTAAATATATTTTTATTGATTTCAGAGAGGAAGGGAGAGGGAGAGAGAAATAGAAACATCAATGATGAGAGAGAATCATTGATTGGCTGCCTCCTGCGTGACCCACACTGGGAATCGAGCCCGCAACCCAGGCATGTGCCCTTGACCAGAATCCAACCCGGGATCTTTCAGTCTGCAGGCCGACGTTCTAGCCACTGAGCAACACCAGTTAGGGCAGGACTGTGGGTCTTGACAGAGCAATGGCAGTCACTCCAACCCTAACAGGGTCTCTCACTCAATCAAAGCTTTGAGCGGCATAATGATAAGCACCAGGCCACTTGGACAGTACCTGTACTAAGGCATCTTTCTCTAAAGAACAGAGATTAATTTATGACACGTGACAAAAACAGAAGTTAACTGAGGTTTAAAAACAAAACCCGTTCTGCTAAGGAGCACTCCCCAGGAGAGCTCACCAGAGTGTCCATTGAGCTTCCGCGACAGGAGCATGTCCTCCGTGATGTAGATGCACATGTCCGGGCTGACCTCCAGCGAGTCTTCGTTCAGCTGCTCCAGGTCCCTCGGGTCATCAACCAACATCTCTATTTCTGACACAGAAAAGGGAAAAGACATGTAGTGGCAGAAAGGGAAATGATCACCATAATGCACAGCCACATTCGGAGGGAGGCTATGTAATTATTCGTATTTGAAAATAAGTCGGCGTATGAGGCTCTACAGCAGTCCACTCTCGGGACAATTCTCAACCAGATGCTATTTGTCCTCTTTCTCACAAGACTGCTGTGTTCTCCACAGGTCTTCCAACACCCTGATTTGTCAATTGTTGTTTACTCTTTAAGAAAGAAGAAAAGCTCTACTACCATGCTTCCGTCACAGGGCAAATGGAGACGGATGGCTCATTTGGCTAATGCCACAGCAGACTGTTGACACAGAATGAGTAGTTCATGGAGCTCCCCACTGCCATAGCTGCCTAGTCTCAGAGTAGTTGTGACTCAATTTGGTTACTACATGAATTCTATAGTAACCAAACAGGTTCTGCAGCTTTCCTTAATGAAGTCAGTATCTCTTCCCCAAACCTGAATGCTATAGCATTTACTTGAGGCAGAAAAATAATAAAAAAAAGATGTAAACAAATGCTAAGTTTGGCTGATACAGGCTCATCTTATTTCCTCGCCACAGAGTTAAGCGGCCAGGTGCTGTGTTTCTTTTATACTCCCCAGCGTTCTGGTGATATAAAAAGTATTTAAGAAATACTAATTAATGAAATGGCCTGGACTCAAAATTCTTTTTTTTTTTTTTGAAAGTTCAAGACATTTATGTCACTATCATTGAATCTAATCTGTTGTCCTAACCAATGCTTATTTCATGTGGAAATCAGAAACGCAGACCCAAGGGCTGTGGGACTAACTTCTATTCCATATGAAATCCTAAAATTTAGAATCCACAACCATCCAACCCTGTGGTGGCAAAGGCTCATGACTAGAGGGATGTTTTGTTCACAAACAACCCAATCAAGTCACTGGGGAAGGTGGCATGCACCTTTCTCTCTATTTTACTACTTCTTAGTTGTTCTGCAGACATCAATTCTGTAGAACTAATACCTGAGAAACAACTAGGAGAGAAAAAGAAACGAGCCATGAGGACGGGGCTGTCCTGTCGGCTCGGAGGGCCGGGGGGAAAGGTTACCATCGTCCTGCGAGTCCTCTTCCAGCCGGTCCTTGCCGCCGCTCTCCACCCCTGAGGTGTGGGAGCTGCCGTGGCTGGTCATCGAGCTGCAGGTCTTCAGCTTGCGGTGGATGGCGCTGCCGGAGTAGCTGTCCTCCGGCCCCGGGTCCCGAGGCTTGGTGTCCGCCTCGATGCCCGAGGTGTGGGAACTGCTGTGGCTGGCGGTGGAGTGACGAGACAGGCGCTTATGCTTCATGCTGCCCACGCTGCTCCCGCTGGCCCGGGACCGCTTCTCCAGCTGGTCCATGTCAAGGTCCAGGTTGTCACTGATGTAAGATTCCCGGTACTGCTTCTTCTCTGTTTGGGAAGAAACAACCGATCGTCATCTCACTTAACCAAGACAGGGGACCGGATGGGGAGCTTACGTGAGTCAGTCATCAGGCCAAGATCAAGTACAAGTTCACTCTCAGAATCTAGTGACTGGCAAGTGGTCCTAATTCTGGCAGGCTCTCCACCTAAGAACACTGCCAAGTGAATAAAAGCCAGGACGACACATTTGAGGGGAGCGTTTATACTACTCAGGGTTCTAAAACTTCAAACACCAGAGAAGAAGGCTGCTCCTTGACCGACCACCTCGTTTCAGCAAACTGTTATTGGCCCCGCAGTGAAATAAGTTCAGTCACTGAGAATAAACATTTAGAAAGTGTTAGAGCAGCCTGACATTGTCGTGGCAGCCACCACTGTGACTTTGGTATTTTGCAGAAGTATCAGTCCACAGTGGATTAGAAATTCAAAAAACCTGGTCCTTCCCCCACAGGTAATTTCAGAAACACTACCTTAGGAGACTGTTGAATAAACATAATTATGCTATTTGCCATTCATTTCCTTTGTTCATTTGGTCCACTGTTTGTTTAGCTCTAACTTGTTGAATACAATTTAAAATAAAACGATTCTTCTGAGAATTTCTTTCAGGTAATTCTAAAATTTAGGTGTACATTAGCGAAGACTGCTTTTCTCCGTTTAGGCTGAATTAGTGAGACTGTCTCATCTAGTTAGAAAACACAGTCATCACGACTGGTGTGTCACATGGCCTCTGATTGGTAAAAATGTTCCTGAACGTGTCACATGCAGAGACACAAGTCCCTTTCATCAAGTGCTAAACCAGCCAGTACATCAAGCACAAAGTTACAGCTGAGGTGCAGGGGCACACCTGACACAAAAACATTATTTTTGTGCGTCACGTCAGAAATTTAAAACAAAAAGATAGTTTAGCTTCCTTGTGTTTTTAATACGGATGAGAAATGACACATTAGAACAATGCTAACAATGGAGAGTGCATTTGGGAAACATTAAGTTGATATTATCTCAGAAGCTGCTAACAAGGAGACTAATTGGGTCCTCAGGGGGCTGATGGCGGATTTAATTGTCTTGTTTCTTGGTTAAGTAAAAACACTCGCACTGCTGATGTCTGGTTCCAGCTCTGAAGTATCATCGCCACAGGCTCCCGAGAGGGAATGAGCATCACCAGAAAGAGAAGATGATGATATGCTTTGCTGGATGCATAATGGAGAGATGCTAGGTGACGGCGAGGCGGGCGTTTCTGGGCTCCAGCCCCTTCCTGTCAATTCTAAGGAATCGGGCTGAAACACGAAGGCATGTGTGTGTAGCCACAGAGGACGCAGACTGGGGCTGGACATCACAGCCCAACACGCACCACTGAGACAAGTACATCCAACCGATTTTTTAGGGTGAGCCTGGGTTCTAAGGATTCCTGCTTTCTGAAGGCAACGGGTTGACATGAAGATGAGAGCTAAAAGCATCTGCAAGATTCTCATACCATTTCTACTTACTGTACTTTCAAGATAATAGATAGCCATGTGACCCTCAGAAGGGTGGCAAGTGAAGGAAAAGAAGTAATAAAAGAGAAATAGGGAAAAAGTTCTATAGGGTATTGGAGGTCTGAGACAATTGGGAAATGTGGATCTGATTATTTGAAAGTTTTCTAGTCCGGCCGGCGTGGTTCAGTGGTTGAGCATCCACCTATGAACCAGGAGGTCATGGTTCGATTCCCAGTCAGGGCACATGCCCAGGTTGTGGGCTTAGTCCCTGGTGTGGGGCCTGCAGGAGGCAGCCAATCAATGATTTTCTCTCATCATTGATGTTTCTATCTCTCTCTCCCTCTCCCTTCCTCTCTGAAATCAATAAAAATATATATTAAAAACTAACTAACTAAATAAATAAATAAATATAAATAAAAGCTTTTCTACATCTTTACAAATAGTCTTTTTAACCCCAGCTTGCAGGTAGGTTTGGAGCCAATCCGAGTTTCCCATACTCACTAGTACACTCCCTGGGGTACAAGCAGTCACCAGCCTGCGCTCCCGCTAGGAGCCCTGTGTACATACACTTCCTATCAGAGTGTCAGCAGCCCTGGTGCACCGCGAGGCTGGCTTCTGTCTCCTTTGAAGTGAGTGCTACATCACTTAGACCCTCTGCAAACATTTAAGAAGCTTCATACCACTCAGTCACAAACTGAGGGAAATGCTGAAATAACGCAGAAATTGGTTTGAAGGAATGCAAAATGCAACTTCTCATCCCCCTCGCAATCACTGGCATCAACAGCGAAGATGCTCAACATGCCAGTGTGCCTTTATTCCCTCTGTGGGAAAAGCCCAGCGACCGCAAAGGTTTTCACACATGATTTTAAAATAGAATGCAGGCGATGTGACTTCTGTATAGATGTCTTAAGAATAAGCTCTAGGTACTGAATAAAGTTGGGTTAACATCTTTCTAATGACAAAGGCACTTCTCTTCTGAATACTATGGAAGAATTCTTGTGACTCTTTTCTGCTATAAAACACTAAAACAGTATTTCAGACAAGGTGACTCTAAATGAAATGTAATTAAGAAAAATAAGATTCTTTTTGTGCTGCTCTTTTTGCTGAGCCAATATTGAAAAAGGCTTTAAGTGCGGGCAAGATAAGTGGATTCAGGCCAAGCCAGAGGAACTTGATTTCAATTTTTCCTCAGACTTGGTGTGATCTCTAAGTAGAAGAAATTAAATGTGTTTTCTCTGGAAGAAGAAGAAGAAGAAAAAAAGACTTCCCTTCCAAATCTATCTACATTTGCCCAAATAAAAGATCCAGTTTACAATTTTTTCATTCCTTTATTGCCCTGTACATGTAAGCCCACAAATGCACCCGGTACATGCTGGGTAGTTTACCTTAAACGCTATGGTTCGTTCCATCTTATGGGCTCTACAGAGCTCCCCCTACAGTCCCCTAAACAAGAATTTAGTAAAAGGCTGCTGGTGGAGAGCTGGTGGAATAATGAACTTCTCAAGGCACCGATTAGGAACGAGGCTGACTTGGCAAACAACGGGCTCTGCACCCCACTAAGTCTCCTACCCATCCTCGCAAGTTTCCTCGGCACCTTTTCCTGTCTGAATTCTCTTTAATATTCGTGTCAGCGTCGGAGAGATATATTTGTCATACCGATGAGTCATCTGGGGAAGAACTGGCAGTCTGGCAGCGGCGGAAGCCAATACACCTGACATTTTTACCCACTCTCTCCGAAGACAGGTGCAGCGTGGTGGCAGACAGTGGGAGATGACTCACGTTCTAATCGCTAATTAAATGACAGTGACATCTCCAAATGGGGTCTCATTTAGACAGAGGCAGCTTTGGAAAGACATCAATTGGATGTGCAAAGCTCTCTGAGGTGTTTTGCTTGCTCAGAGAGAGCAGGCATTGCCTTGTTTCTGTGGGAAAGGTTGGATCTGAGAGGTCAAAATCTGTTTCAGACATGGACCTCCGATATGAATCTGCATCCTAATGATCATGCAACCCCCTAAAATCTACTAATCTAATCGCATTACCAAGAATTAGTACGACATGATTTTGCAAAATAAACGGAAGGCATTAAAAAATAAACAAATATGCAAAGTAGCCTTTTGGGGGATCAGAAGTCGGAGTGTTAAGTGGAGTAACTCCAGGGTGCCATAACCCAAGATAAAGGGTTACCCACGAGCTTAATACTGTAAAGTTGAAGCCTGCTCTTAGAGGCCCTCTCTGCCTCCCTCTTCTTCACCATGTGTCAACTTTGGCCCGGGACTCTGGGGCTCCTAATAGACTGCTCTATTCTGTCTGTGTCTCAGCCCAGCCCCCACAGGACTGGCTGGTAAAATCCTCAGGTGAAAATTTCTCCCTCCTTTGCCATTCTTGCTAAGGAGACGTGGGGGCTTCCCCGCAGTCAAGAAGAGAGACTGCAGCCATTTCTGTGACCCACTTCGTTGGAAGCAATTTCAGATTCCCCGCGGATAATAGAACCAAGGTGGATCCGTGTATACACGGAGCTCCGAGATGCAGCTAAACCTTGGCCTGAACCTTCACATGGTGGCTTCTCACAAGCATTTTCAAGCCAAGCGTGGGATAAGCTAAAGAGACTACACAAGGGGCAGCTCAACGACAGGGATCACCTCGGCATTTGGGATGGGTGCAGCTGCTGGCACCAAGGCTACCCTTGCCTTCTGGAACAGTGCTGGGATGCAGAGGAGGCTGCACTAAATTGGGAGAGTCCTGGCCCCCAAATCCCACCTCGCAGGAGCCTGCGATACCTTCGTTTTCCTCCAGCTTCCGGATGTGGCGCAGGATGGGCTGCAGGTTCATGTAGAGGCGGTGGCTGTTGCTCAGCAGCTGCAGGAGGTGCCTGGAGCGCAGGGGGCACCCCGTGTAGTATATGAGCTTCCTGGCTGAGGGCAGGCCATCTGGCAAAATCTCAAATTTCTTACCCTGGGGAGGGAAAGCATAAATCAGATTCGGGAAGCAAAGTCTCTGATTTGCCCAGGTCCCCTACATTGTTTACTTGCTAAGGAAAACTACAGATTCCGAAAACGATGTGCAGCAGGTCCTTGGATAAGGTCGTTTCATCACAACGTTGATGAGTTGCTATGGGAACGCAACACTTGTTTCTATCAGCCTATAGTAAAACTGGTTTTGTCGTACGTCATTTTGCTTAAAGTCGCTGTACCTGTGGACGACTTTGAGTGAGGACTTACCGTATAAAGCTCCATTCAAAATTTGCTGAGACATAAAGTACCGTGTTCCCTTTCAAAACTGTCACAGACAGAGGGTTACCCAAAATTCAGGAAAGGGTCTAGCGAGGGTCTTCTGGTAATCACTGACTGGGTGTGACAGTTGAGGAAGATCTTTGGTGTCTCTGGCTGGTCAGGCCATTTATATAATGGAGAAGGGAAGGGCCCGTCATGCAGCATCCTCAACCTCAAATGCAATCCCAACACTTAACTCAGCAAACAAGTTCCACAAGCAGAATGCATTCAAGTATTTGTGGGACACGCGCCGTGTACCGATCCCTGCGCTAGACAGACACCGAGGAAACAACAGTGAACAGGACAGACAAGCTCCCCACCCTCAGGGAGACACATTCTGGTGGAACAGATGGTAAATTAACACAGAGAATAATTATAGCTTATGATAAATTCCGGGAAGGAAATAAATAGAATTATGATGGTGAAAAATACTGGATACCTATTTAGGGTTTAGAAAAAATATAAAACTTCTCTTAGCCGGAAGCTACAGAGACAGCAGTGGGATGGGACAAGAAAGAGAAAGAAGAGCTATAAGTGTCTATCAATAGAGATATAAGGAATCACATTCTTTAAGTCTGGGATCATTAACATAGTGTTCTAAGTGGAGGGAGAGAGTCTGGCAGAGTTCCTTACAGTTCTAGAATATTTTGAATTTCTTTCACTTTCCTAATAATGAATAAAGCAGCAGCAGAACTACAAAACGGAGTATTCCAGATACAAAGATTCTCAGCCAGAGAGGAGAAGTGAAGCAAAGAGGGAGGCATACGCTAACTTGAAGTGGGTACAAAGCAATATGGGTTTGTGTAACTCAGACAGGGATAGAATTTTTCACCTCTGGACTTCTTTAAAAGACCACCGGTGGACCCCAATGCTAGAACAGTAATAACTGATACTTAACAAGCTGTAAGCAGATGTAACTCATTCATCCTCACCCTCAATTTGAAATGAAGAAACTAAGGCACAGAGAGGTTAAGCAATTTGCTCAAGGTCACACAGCTAGGCAGGGCTGGGCTGGCTGCATCTGGGAAGTCTGTCAAAGTAGATTCCTCCTCTCCAACCCACAGTCACCGAATCGAAAATCTCTAGGAGAGGAGGGCGAGGCCCAAAAGTCTATAACTTCAACCCGCTCCTCAGATGAGTATGACGCAAAACTAGATCCACTGAGTCCAGGACCCTTAAAACACTCAATTCCAGAAATGCATTTTATGACTACTTAGTGTGGGACATGAAAGGGGCAAGTCTGGCAATAATGTACTCATTTTCAAACAGCCCAGATCCTTTCACAAAGAGCTGGAACAAAGGAGAGCAGTGGGGAGGAGGCAGGTCAGGCCGCGCTTAACGTAGGAGTAAAGTGAAATCAGATTGAACTGTGCCCAAGTAATTAAAGTAATGTAAAGTCAGGAACAGGTCTTCTGACTCACAGGACAGTGTGGAATCAGTGCCCAGTGCTATTTGGCAATACGACTCTTTATTTATATAGGCCATCTTCCTCAGGGGAGAGAGGCCCATGTGCACAAATCCTTATCTCCCTCCTTTCTTTGTGTATTTTTTCAGTAGTTTCTGAACAAAAGAAAATTGTGGATTTTAATGACTACTAGACAGACACACTGTTAACTGTAATTCTTTGAACTCTACTAAGAAATGGAGATAGCAAAGTAAAGAAACAGCTGGAAAAATCATGAATTTGCTCTAAAAATATTCTAAAAATAAAGGTATTTTTCCTGTTAAGAACTATAGACCTTTCTTTATAATGATGAGTTTCAAAGAGTCAGATATTAATAGCAACATCTTTTTATATCACTCTTTATTCCTTCTTCAAAGGAAGTAATTTCCAAAGGAACTGGCCGGCCCCACACGAAGAGCACTTACCCTGTGATTATGGTTTTCTGTTTTCTAATCCCTCTGCTGTACACTTTTAAAATAATTCTATTTGATGAACTCATCTTGTACTTTTCTCACTACATTTCTTTTGCAAGTAGAATAACTTAGGGTAGTGTGGTGAAGACCAGGCACACAAATTAAAATTAGTTATTTCTTTTGCTATAAAATTCTTTAATTTTAGCTGTTCTACTGATGAGTGACATAAGAATATAAGAAATCTAATTATCTTCACTGCTGACTTCTTAAAAATATCAACTTTTGTGTCTGGGACAATATTGTTTTAAAAAACAAGAAACAACAAAATTCCAAAAACAAACAAACAACTGAGTAATTTATTTTAGCCAGTTATTTTAAACTTACCACAAATACCAACTTTCCAACATTTGTCCAGGGGAAGTCATAAAGTAATTGTTTCTCTTCATCTAAATTCTGTGGGAAGAATTATAATGCATACAGAGTTACTGATGAAACGGACAGACACTAAAATGGCTCTAATTTATCTCCCAGAAAACTAAAATACATTAATTAAAATCCAAAAGAGGCCCTCAGCTCTCTTTGGAGATGTGCAGACAGTAATTAAAAGATTAGTGATATGATTCAGTAGTTTCCGGTTCCCGAGTGACTGCATCATTAACTGCCCTTTCCAGGCAATCTTTCCTCTTTTGGCCTATCCCTAAAATTTAAATAAAAAGTCCGAAAGACTTGGGCATTCAGGAGATGAGACAAGGTACTCAGACTTTCATCCTTGGATATTTTGCCCACATCAAAGAAAAGATATCCTGATACTCTCCTAGCTCTCCCAGAAAGAGGCTTTTTCTCCCCCTTGTCAATGGCTGTAGCACCATCCCACCTACTTACGCAAGGGACAAGCTTTATCAGAAAAGTGTAACGGAAATTAAAACATCTGCTCAGGCACTGTATGCATATGTCATCTTTAGAATTATAAATGCTCCAGAGGACAAAAATATACAAGAGTATATTTAACGTCAATGACACACACAGAAAAAGTGGTGAACGTGGGCCAATCTTTGGCTTTTTGTTTTCTGTTCTGGAAGACTTGTTACTACATGGTTTAGACTGGATCCCTTGGTCTATCCCACATCGTCCGCACCTGTGCACACATACAGGAAGCAATGACCAATCCGTGGCCACAAAAGGACCGGTGAACCTATCACAGGACCACAGAGGGACACTGTCCCTGGGAGACAGAGCAGTGCCTACTGGACACTTAGTTCTCTCATTTACTCACCTGGAAAATCTGTATTCCCCGCATGGTCAGCCCGAGGGTCAGAGAAGCTTCAATTTCCCTTTTATCCTGGAGGAATAACATTTTATGAAGATGTCTATGTTAGAACCTTGAATATAAAGTCATAATTAAATTCTGAGATGCACCAGATTTTATATGTTAAAAACTGGGTAAATCTCCCAGCTCAGAAGCTAAGATTTCAGGCAAGCCTAAATATTTAAGGGTCTCTCATGAGGACAAATAATAAAGCTGAAAAAGTTTTATATCGGTTGGTTTTTTTTAAAAAGTACTTATTTTTTAAATGCTCAATTATTACTTACCAAAATGGTATACATTCTACCAGCTAACCCATAAACTATAAACAATAAAGTATAACTACATAAGGGAAAAAATTCTCCAATTAAGAATGTACTCAGGTAGAAAGAGATCAGCCAAAGAACTTATATGCATTTATGCATAACCCATGGACACAGACAATAGTGTGGTGAAGGCCTGGGGTGGGGGGTGGGCTAGAACGGGTCAACGGGAAAAAAGGGGGACATGTGATACTTGCAACAATAAACACTTAAAAAAAAAAGAATACTTAGAACTTTGGCCACATCTTTTTAGGTGCTCATCTGTAAAAGTGTTTATAAAATATAAAGTATAAAATAAAAGAGACATAATATTATTAAGTAACTAAACTATTCTCACTATAAGATTTCTCAGTACAAACAATAAATATGTACAGATCTTTATTATAGTGCCATTTCCCCCAGGAACATGGTTAAGAAGTATTTTTTGAAAATGCATCCTCACCAGGCACAGAAAAGAGAAGACATAGCCTATTTTTACTCTTTGGGTTGTTTTTTTCCAACCAACATATTTTTACATCACGAAAGGCATATATAGTAAGAGAAACCAATCTATCACTATGAGTTTAGGCCAATTTCCCTTTCAAGGCCGTTCTGATTGTTTCCTGAAGACTGTGCTCATAAAAACGCGGGCTGTGCATGTATGAGGTGTGCAGTACTGGAAAGGGAGCACAGAATTTGTTTTTTTTCTTTTTCAGGACGTTTCCTATCCTCCATCTACCTTATTTCCATTTGTAACCAGGCCTTAAATGAAGCAGTTTTAGTGGCTGCCACTTGACTTCTCCAAAGAATAAAAATTCTGCCCATGAGGCAATAATATTATTTCCCACTTCATTCAGTTACATTAACTATGATTAATTATCTCATTTTAAGCAGACTAGAGTCATTTTCCATGCCATGTAGAAGTACTGCACTTTAAGTAAGTTTGAAAGATTTTTACACAAGATAAATTGAGGATATCCACTTCACTAAATGATTCTTAATAGGATTTTAAAAATTGATTTTTAGAAAAAGAGAGAGCGAAAGAGAGAGAGCGAGGGGGTGTGTGGTGGGGGGGAGGGGAGAGAAACATCTATTTGTTCCACTTATTTATGCATTCATTGGTTGATTCTTTTATGTGCCCTAATCAGGGATCAAACCTATAACCTTAGGGGATGCTGCTCTAAGTAAATGAGCTACCTGGCCAGGGCCAATAGAATTTTTTTAAATACTAAATTTCCTTATCAAATAAGAATCACTAATGTACTAGACACTTCACCTGGTTATTTCAGATTCATTATCTCATAGAATTTTCCCCAACGTTGGAAATGTATGGAATCATTCCCACTTAATAGATGGCCCAGGATTACTTATATTTACTTAGGATCCAGTAATTATCAGTGGTAATATAGGGTTTTTAAGTGACTAGAGGCCGGGTGCATGAACTTGTGCAGGGGTGGGGTCCGGCCAGCCCATCCAATAGGGCCAGGCCGGCTGGGGGGAGGGGACATGGGAGGTTGGCAGGCCGGCCCCACCCCAGATTGGGGGGAGGGGGAGGGGCAATCGGGGACGGGGCCTGGGGGAGGAGCTGCGGGCAGTTGGTCAAACTCCTGGTCAAGGGAACAATTTGCATATTAGCCTTTTATTAGATAGGATTTCTGATTCCAAAGCCGCAGTCTTTTCAATACATTGTTAATACTTCTCATACATTTTAAAATTATAAGCTGATTGTCAAAAATGTCATTTATTTGCATTTTCTCCTATAAATTGTCACAAATAAAATTTAAGGAAAAAAAACAAACAGCTAAGTCCTTTAGGAATTTAGCCAAAAAGATATTATGGAACTCAATTATGCCTTTCAAAGATGACAGGGCATTAACAGTGCACCTCTTAAACATGGAAGAGAGAAGAAACACCATCCTTTGGTCCCTTTCTAAGTTTTCTGAACCAGGCAATATGCTCACCAGCAGTATATCCAATGGTCTAGGGGTGCGAGACCATTGGGTAGGGAGTGATACCAAAGGCTATGGAGTGATACCAAGCATAGTAACAGTGATAAAGGTAACAACTGCTTGAAGCACCTTTTATCCATTGTCCTTTACCTATTCAATGAACCTCAGAGGTAGGTCATGACCATCCCCATCTAACGATGGGAAACTGAAGCAGAGAGGTTAAGTAGTAACTGGTCTAAGGTCACATGGTAAGAGGTGAAGCTAGGAGTCAATCCCACAAGTTAGGCTCAATAGACCACACTCTGAACCACTTCATCCTATTCGGTTGGAGAATATACCTCTGGATACATAAGTGGGGATTCAGGAGTGAAATATGGCCACGAATGGGGAGGAGGAGGAGGGGGAGAGAAGACAGGATCCCATAAATGTAGTGTGAGGGATTCCCCGCAGAGCTTGGCCCCAATTGTTATTTGGGTGTGTGGCCTCTGACCTCTGAAACAATGAGGCTAGGGATACACAGGACACAGAAGGGAGTGACACACATCAGAGAGTTCGGTGGAGAAAGGACACAGGCTCTGATTAGGCCTGGGTTGGATCCTGGCCTTGCCACTTACTGGTTTTGAGGCCTTTAGTCTGTTTCCTCATCTGTAAAATGAAGATTACAGTTCCTATCTTACAGAATGGTGAGGATTTTTTTAAAGGATGAATATAAAGGGTGCCCCATAAACACAGGACTCAATAAGCACTCGCTGTCGTTGTGATGCTCTAGTTACTAATGGATCCGATGCTGTGTGACGTCACTTTGGGGAATATTAAGAACTAATGATCGAAGAAGTTGCCAATGTCACTCCCCGAGACAGAAATGCATACTTGGAGAAAAGAAAAACAACTATGGTATTTTTGTTCATGGAAAAGCCAGATTCACAATATGCAGCCCCGTGTTATCACAGCGTTAGAACCAGGAGAGCCTGCATCCTGCTCCCGGGCCGAGAAAAAGCATCACCCGCTCCGAGATGACCTGCGGTGACAGACAGCAGGTCACGTGAAACTCTCTTAAAAGCCCTTTAAAAAGTGAACTGAGAGGTTAAATCAACGCCCCTTGTGATGGAGAAGGAGTTTTTTCTCGGAAGCTGCAGGCGCGCGGCCGTCTGTACCTTATACAATCTGTAGTAGTGGACGGCGACGTCGTCCAGCCGGACGGCCTCTTTGATGTATTTAAGGTGAGCCTCGGAAGCGGTCAGTGCAAACTGATCTTTGTGCATGTTTGGAATGTGCTTCAGGATGTAGTCCTTCCCTCTCTTGGCAACAACCTGTTGGAATACAACGGGCAAGCAATGCAACAGTTGTCGGGGGGTGTACACACCCTCACCCGTAAGTGACAGAAGGACAAGGACCTAAACAAACCATATAAACGGGCTAACATCCACTAGAACATTCCCACGTTCACTCTGTTTTCACCATCGGTTTTAGTACGAGGCTGAATCAGCTAATACTCAAAGTGACAAAGTCAACTTTAGCTGCAGTATTGAATATCTAAGAAGAAAAATCACAAGCAATGGGAAAAGTATGTTCTCTTGGCTTTAAATTCACCAGGAACCAAAAAAAAAAAAAAAATCAAACCAAAGACAAAACCATGCAAACTTGCACAATTTTGTACACATCATTCCTTATACTTGCAAAATTACTGGTACCATGAAATACATCTCCTGTCAGCACATCTTCAGGTTCTGGATCCTACTTAACTCTTCCAAAATCATAGCCACAGCGTGGGAGACTCTAAATGTTAATCCAAAAAAAGGCAGGGGACTGCGAGAAATTCTCTGAAACGTGTGTTTTTTGCATAAGAAGCTGATATGAACAGTCTATTGGATACTTATGAGAAAACAATTTATTTCATACATTCATTGTAATCGACTGTGGCTTATATTTTCATCAGACAGTAGCCTGAGCTTTGAGATGTCAAAAGTACTCAGTATCCAGCAGCTGCAGGCTCAGAGAAAGGTGTCGATTAAAGGTCCTACCTGATTTCATAAGGACTATCAGATGTGGAATCACACAAAGGAAACTAGAGTGATGTTTAAAATCATCAGAATAAAAAAATTAGAGAATTTTTAGTTTTAAAATGTTTTATAGATACTGACATTTTTTGTTTCTTTCTATTGAATTAAGCATGATAAATTACTGGCCAATTTTCAAGTTTTACTGAGAACTAAAATTACAGATTTTTCTCTCTAGATGCCTTTTACATGAAGGTCATCTATATCAGTATTTGTTAACTGTGTTCAGGTCAGAGAACACATAGAAAATAGTACTTGCAAGGGTACTGAAGCAGTGACTTTGGTGGCCCCAAGGGTTGAGGACACTGGTACCCGGGCACTCCAGACGCCACGGCACATGGATGGGAAGCTCCGATGTAAATGACCAAGGCTCAGTGAGCACCTGATGACAACTAGGGAATGTAAAAGCAGGCTAATTTGGGCCCAACAGACATTGCTATGTAAAAGCTTGACACCTTTTGTGGTTTCTCCTCCAACAACTGAAGCACTGTCAATCAACTGTCAGTCGGTCAACAAAAACTTATATTGAGCACCTTAATGTGAAGTGCCGAGGAAACAGAAAAGGGTAAATTTATGTCTGTCCTTTAGGACATACCAAGAAACACTAAGGTTACTGGGGTTGGGCCCAAAAGATAAAGAGTTATTTGAAAATAAGATGTAAAACAGGGTCTTGTTGAGCACAGAGGAGGGGCCCTGGCACCTGGTCCATCTACCCAGAGGAAGCGACCCCTGAGCGGAGTGTTGGAAGGAGTTGGGTGAAGCGGGGAGAGGGGCTGCACAGGCTAAAATAATTGGAGGGAGAAAGGCCAGAGTGAGAGCCACCACAGGTGTGGAGACACGGGGATTACTGGACGATGCTACCGCATAAAATTCAAGGTGAGGACAGTCAGAAAGGAATCTGGAAAGGGTGTGGGGAGGGGCCACGTCCTGCAAAGCTCCTCAGGCATGCTTGGGAGCGGGCTGCACACATCCTGCAAAGCTCCTCAGGCATGCTTGGCAGCGGGCTGCACGCTGCAGGTGACAGGGGAGCCCTGGGGGCTTCCATCCGAAGCCAAAGCAAACCTCCACAGCAGGGCTGTTGAGTGCTCACAAGAGCTGGAAGCTGGGAGGCGGAGGAACAATGGTGGGGAGGGGACGCAATAGACAGACATGTAGGAAGTGAACAAAAATACAAGAGAATTTTAGTTCTTACGCCGGGTGATGGGTTATCGGCTGTTTAGGGAAGAGGACGTTCTGGTTGACTGGGTGGGACGGGGAGAAGGATAGGTGGTCAGGGAGGGAGTGCTGTGTGACTCCCAAGTTTCTGGGTGACGGGGTGGACAGCAGTGCCGCCAGCTGAGATTAGGAACACGGAGGCAGGAATAACCGAACTGAGGTGGTGGGAAGAAGATGAGTTTGACTCAGCACATTCTGAATTTGAGATGCCTCCGGTGAACAGCTATCTCACGGACTCACGGGAGAGGTGGTTGTTAAAAGCATTCAGTTGGATGAAATCTCCCGTGATCGGGAGGGGTGACATGTCAAGGGCAGCGGAGAAATTCAGGGAGTGAAAGTGTTCACTGGATTTGGCCACTTAAAGGTCACTGGTGACCTGAGGGACAGCCCATGAGTGGGGCGGTGGGGAGAGCAGGCAGATGGAGGTGGGTGGAGGAGTACACGTGGGAAGCAAAGAAGCTAGAAAATCAAATAGACATCGCTTTTTCAAGAAGCGTTACTGAGAAGGGAAGGCAGGAGAGGCAGCATTTCTTTCCCTTCCTTCCTTCCAAGGATGGGGGTGCAAACCAAGCCTGTCGTGTATGTTCTGACTGAAGAGCAGAGGGTAAAGGTAAGAGAAAGAAGTTACAGCAGAGACCTGGAGGAAGGATGGGGGCAGAACAGACGGGCCGGGGTAGAGAAAGTACAGTTGAATAGTTCATGCTGGAATAACCTAAATTTCCTCGCTGAAGTAAGGAGATGGTGGTCAGAGCAAGGAGTTTACTTACACACAGGGTCAAGGGGCCTCTGACTTACATGATGGCTCGACTTAGGATTTCTTGACTATGATGTGAAAGCAATATGCTTTCAGCAGAGACTGAACTTCGAATTTGGAATGATATCCCCCCCCAGCTAGTGATCTGCAGTTCAGTCTTCTCTCGTGATGCTGGACAGTGGTGGTGAGCCACAGGGTCACAGGGGCAAACAATGGACACTCTGTATCCACTGTGTCACCAGCATTTTTTCTTTTTTCTTTAGTTCAAGGCTTCAAGCACGCTCCAGGCTGTGTTCAGGCTTCTAGCTGTGCTCACTAACGCTGGGGACCCAAGCAACCATTCTGTTTTCCACTTTCAGTATAGTAGTCAAAAAATCATGATATATTCGACACTTTATCAAAAAACAGGCTTTGTGTTGGATGATTCCACCTCACTGCAGGCCAGTGTAAGTGTTCTGAGCACATTTTAAGGTGGGCCAGGCTGCGCTAGGGTATTCGGTAAGTTAGGTATATTGAATGCATCTTGACTTAACAATATTTTCACCTTACAATGGGGTTGACTGGGAAGGAGAAAAGCTTTCTCAAATTAAGAGTAAATAAGATCAAGGCCATGGAAACACCAAAAGCAGGCTGGCAAACTCCACGTTCCAGCATGTTTAGAATGGAGAGCAGTCTTCTTCCGCGTTAACTATAAGCCAGCCGAGTCTATGAAGACAGCACGGGTATCACGCTCTTAAGTGTTAGACTTATATTTTGCGCATCATGAAGGGTTTCACCGGCCACAAAACATCTGGGCTCCCATTTCTTGAAGCAGCGCGTGTAGCTGCCCAATGACGTAGAAGCATGCTCTCTAGAGAACACACTTTAGAATTTGAAAACAGTGCCTACCCAAGATGGGAAGTAAGCCTCCGGCTCGAAGTATTTTCCTTGGTGCTTATCCCTTTTGAAGTTCCCAAGGTCAGCCTGCAGGGCAAAGGCTGCCAGCAGGAAATAGGCCTCCTCGCGGAGCACACACTGAGAATGAAGCACTTGTTTTTTCAGGTGCCAGTAATAATAGAATCTTGCTGCTCTGTCACTAGGAAAATACAAGAAAACACATTTTGATGGTACAATCCAATGGCATGTAAACAGAACCCAAATCCTGCTATCCATCTGCTGACAAGGGCTCTTCTGTTTCGGCTCCCTGCTCTCCCCCTCTCCTTCCCCACTCACTGAAAAAAGGGGAGGTTGTAGGAACACCTGATCGCTGCCTCACTGAATTCGGAGTCAGACTACCCTGGCTGCAAAAATCACATTCCCTAAGACCTGTGACATTCGATTCATTCAGAGACTGGAAAAACGGTCGGGATCCTTCCACTCTAATACGGTAAGTATTTCATTAAACAAGTATGACAATAGAAGCCTAGGTATTGGTTGCAGTGAAATAATTTTGTTACAATAATGCTGTGCACATAATATAAATAAGGACAAATCTGAGGGGACAACCCAACCCTGGCTTTAATCTTTTGCTATTCTTTTTTGTTTTTCAGCTTGAGCACATTACAAATACTCTAAGGCCCTTTTAAAGATGTTTGTTTATGAGACTGTCTAGAAAAAAAAATTTCACTACAAAAGGTGTGATTTCTTTTTCCTCTTTCAGAATGAATGAACTGAAAAATGCTTCCCTTAAATCTTTTTTTAAAAATTATTATTAAGTGGGTGTTACTTTATGGGTGTGTTTTAATAGGCACATGTTATGACAACCATGATACTCCTCAAAAATGGAAATACTAGCAGTGCACTCATTGCAATCCACTGAGGTCAGAAATAAATATAGTCCCCATTAAACATGTTGAGCAAGAAGTGCTGACTGGGAAAAACATGGTCTAGCTCCAGAAGATGTCACAGGCACATAGGACGCCTCAGTGATTAAAGTAGAAATGCAAGAGAACACGTAGGTGTATAGTTAATGTGCTTATTTGCCTCTTTATTATTGTAGGTTGAATGCTTTTAGCTGAGATTCATAGTTCATTAGCTGATGATAATGAAAACATATGGGCTTATTTTTACCAAGATCATGTTTAAGTATCAAGAGTTTAAAAATAAAGCATTTGACAGAAACAAACAAAAGAGAATAAAAATAAAGCATTTATGTAATTTTTTCCCCCCTTGGCACAGAGTACTTTTCAGAGCACTTCTTTTTATAATGCTGATCACACAGTGTTTGGACTAGTTCATCCCAGGGGGAAAGGGCAGAAGTATTGGGATAAATTAAACATTCACTAGCCCCAGGCGGTTAATGCCATACTTAGTAAAGTGCATTCCATACATAGTAGGTAAATTGAGTAAAATCTTTATATAAATCGAGAATAACTAAAAACTTTCTCAGTCTTTAAAAAAATTCTTTATGGACTAATATATTTTACTTTGTAATGTGCCTATGGCGATGATATAAATATTAAGAGCGAATTTCACATGTAACTCACTAGGCAAATGTATCTGTTGTCTGTTACATGGGGTTTCTCAAAGTTTAATAGGAAATAAGTAAAACTCAGAGTTCCCATTTCTAGTATTTTCTATCAGCCAACAAGATCACCTCTGAAAGTTTCCAGCCCTGACTCCTCCTAAGCAAAGGGTAAACTTGCTTTTAAAACAGTGAACTCGGAGTTTGTATCATGGGCATAGTATTGTTCATGCAGCTACGTCCAGACAAAGAATCAATTACCTGCCCTTGCCAAACCGCATCTAAGATTCTCACAGGAGGACTCCACTGGGCATAATCTTAGCTTTAAAGGTAATGCCAAGAACACAAGCAAGACCCCCACAGTGAAAAGAAAACCAGGCTGTAAACACCCATGTGTTTTTATAGGAGAGCGTTCTTGCTGCTGCCCCACTCCGCGCCCCCCTCAACAAAAAGGAATATAATCCTTTCATCAATTTCTCTACTCTTCACAAAAGTGCGAGTTCCTTCTTGAATGAAGTATCTTTTTGGTGACTTATTTGTTATTGAAAATGTGGAATGCAGCCCTAGCCGGTTTGGCTCAGTGGATAGAGCGTTGGCCTGCAGACCGATGGGTCCCAGGTTTGATTTCAGTCAAGGGCACATGCTTGGGTTGTGGGCTCGGTCCAATGTGCAGGAGGCAGCCAATCAATGATTCCCTCTTATCATTGATGCTTCTATCTCTCTCTTCTCCCTTCCTCTCTGAAATAAATAAAACTATATTAAAAAAAAGAAAAGAAAATGTGGAGTACAGAGAATGTGAGTCAGCTGTATTGCTAACATTTTCATCAATAGCCTAACATAGTCATTCACTTACTTAACAAGTATTTATTGAGTGTATACTGTACTTTTATTGTAGGACCTGAGGATACATGCACTTGCAAAAAGATTAAAAAAAAAAAATCCCTTGCCCTAGCCAATTTGGCTCAATGGATAGAGTGACGGGCAGGCCTGAGGACTGAAGGGTTGCAGGTTCGATTCTGGTCAAGGACATGTACCTCAGTTGCAGGCTCAATCCCCAGCCCCGATTGGGACGCATGTGGGAGGCAACCAACTGATGTGTCTCTTTCACATTAATGTTCTCTCTCTCTGTCTCTCCCCCTTCCTTCCATTCTCTCTAAAAATCAATGGAAAAATATCCTCAGGTGAGGATTAACAAAAAATAAATAAATAAAATAAAAATAAAACCTATGAGACAGGCTGGCTGGTGTGGCTCAGTGATTGAGCATCAACATATGAACCAGGCGGTCACGGTTCAATTCCAGGTCAGGGCACACGCCCGGGTTGCGGGCTCGATCCCCAGTAGGGGGTGTGCAGGAAGCAGCCGATCAATGATTCTCATCATTGATATTTCTGTCTCTCTCCCCCTCTCCCTTCATCTCAGAAATCAAATATATATATTTTCCTGCTCTTACAGAATTTATAGTCTAGCAGTGGAGACAGACAAACACGAGTACTTGATTTGGTCATAGTACTTTCGCTGGTTTGTTTGTGTGGGAAGATGAGTGCCATGGGAAAGACAGGTTGACTCTCTCCCTGTCCTCATACCTGATCAGTTTGCCGTTTTCCACATAGTACTGTACTCGGAAGTGGATAATCATAGGAGGTCCAAACTGGTCAATACCCTAAAACAAAGTCACATAAAAAACAAGCTATTTTCAGTTGCTGCAACAGTGGATTTCAAAAGTAATCACTTACCACTATTTATAAGCTACTTTCTAAACACTGAAAGGTTTTATCTACTCCTGGTGAGTGTGGCCTTGCAGCGGGCAGACAGTTGTCCCATATGGATACCAGATTCATGCACAACCAGGAAGTCATAAAGCATCATTACTGTATCTGATACTCATTCACTGTAATGCCAATGACAACAGAAGGGGAGATAAAAATAAATGCCAGTGGAAATTTCTAGCTGAGATCCAGCTCCTTTCTCAGCTCTGTCCCCTGTGGTGACCATTTGCTCCTCATTACAAATGTTCTCTTGTTCCTCTGACATTCCACATACCAAATTCTAATATGCCGTTTGTTTATTTAGACATTCGTGCTCCTTACTTTGTAGTTAGCTTTGAAGTGGCCTTCCAGTTTATTCCAAGAATTCTTAAATACAAATTGGAGGCTCTAGGATCAGACACTGGGGATTTATTCCTGACTTAGGAGGGTGATCCTGAAAACACGAGGTAAATCCCCGTGAGTGCTCCCCCGTGTAAATAAAGGCACCAGCACAATAAAGTAACAAAGTATCAAATGTAAGGATAGTCAAAGTAGATTCAGAAGTTGCTCATACTATTTAGAACAACAGTTTGGACAACTCACACAGCCACAAGAGAGAACATGTACTTTTCCATACTTTTCATTTCAACGCCTTATCCCATGATTATTGAAAAGGTATTATCCAGGATTACTTATTAAACAGATATTCCAAATCTAGTTGTATGCTATAAGCTATTCATACTTCATTAAGGTGACATTTTAGAACTTTGAAAATGCATTTCCCTTTTCCATTCTCGACTGTATAAAATGTTGTTGACAATATTTTTAATGTAGAATGGCTAAAATAAACCTTTTATTAAGAAATCAAAATAATTTTGCTCATAAATGTCATCTCACCCAAGAGAATTCGTATTGTCGTACCTTGCTGGCCTCTTTCTTCCATTCTTTTGGACAATACTTATAAAGCTTTTGTGACAGCTCCATATACACATGCTCATTATCTGCACATTAAAAAGAGGAGACAAGGTGAGAAAAATGTTTAATTTTTTTTAAAAGAAAAGAATAGACAAAGAAACAGGTTTTTCAAAGAAAGCCTCAAGATTTATGAATGTACTCTGAATTCACATACTACTAAGAAAATGCAACAAGATACTAAGACATAAGTCCTGTGGGCTAGACAATAATGATGGCCTTTTTGAATTATTTTGCTTTTTGTAATACCGCACACATACTATTAATATATTTTCCGACTTGTACTTAGTTTCGAGGGTCAATACGGCTTACAGTCTAACTTCCAACACTGGACGTTACTTGGTTTTACCAAAACATGCTTTTGTTTAGCTCTCAGAAGACTCTTCCCACACGGGCACAATAATGAAACAGTGCAGAAACACCATCCTCACTGCTGTGTAGGAAATCAGATAACGCTGATAATAACCACACATTTTCAAGTGGGGGGCCTGACCTGGGCTTCATGAGGAGCAATCCTCGAGTATTCTCCCCGTACAACACAGCGTGACAAAATGATGAACCATTACTCACGCTGCCTTTGGGACTGATCTTGTGGGAAGAGGAGAAGAATCTTATGCAAAACAAGAATGAATGCCAAAAGATTTCTTCTAGACGAACAGAAAATGAGACTGCTAAAAACCCATGTCAAAGCGATCTAAACATGTGAAAACAAGCTAATAAAAAATATAGAGGTTTTTCAGACTTCTCAAAGAGACTCTTTTAAGAGAGATTTATTTCACAAGAAAAGCCTTCAGCATTCCTATCTTGTACAAAAGTTTTAATCTTTTTCTTTTTTTTTTCCTTAAAAGCTTATTTCTTTTTCTCTAATCCTCACCAAGGGGGCGGGCTCGTGGGAAGCTCCACTTAAAAATGTCCTCCTTCTGAAAGGGAAGTGTATTTCTTGGACCACTCCAGGGATGACATACGTGACCACACTGTCACTCCTGGCTGAATGCTGGGGTTCGACTGGGAAAGTGCCAGAAGAGAACAGGGAGGGTGAAGCCACTCTTTGTCTATAACTGGCAATATTAAATAACCAATGTGAATGACAGGGAGAGGAAAAGGTCCCAGAGAAAGAAAGATGTTTCTTAACTTATCAGACTGATTAACACCATTGCTCATCTCGCCCACGTTACCGATTAAACACGAAATGGACAAGATCAGACAACCTTCCCGTTGAACCTGATTTGTTTGGCTTGAGTTCCCGTCTGAAGCAGCAGCCCAATGAGTAGAACCGAGACTGCTCACCATACAGCACATGCACAGTTTTCAAATGCCGCTGCCCCTGCCATCTGACAGTCTGACCAGAGCTTCATTCTTTAAGAATTCTCATGCACACACCAGTCCTGCAAAGCAGGTGGCACAGTAGTTTCCATTCGACATGTGAGAAAACTGAAACGGGGGAAGTCAAGCGACATGTCTAAAGCCACATAGTTAGCAAGTTGCAGAACCAGAATTAGAACCAGGTCATCAGATTCCTGTTCCAGCGTTCTTTCGCCATGTTACAATCTCTCTTTTAAAAAGAACACCTTAAAGTCCCTTCTTTTGAATCCGAAGGAAGGTGTAAACTGGTTTTATTAGACTGACTTGTTCAACAACAAAGATCAACAGTCTGCTTATGTAGTAAGAAGAATGAACCTCAGTACCGAGTAAACGTGAAGTTATTCAGGACCCACAGGGCGCCTTATTTCCTCCCAGACCCCGTCTTGAAAGAATGAATGAGGTATGTACTAACGCTGGGATGGAGCTGAGCATTTGTGTTTTTATTGCTTTAACTACCATGGGAAGAAAGTGAAGAGCAAATGGTTGATTCGTGGGTTCCTGACATGTTCCCTGCTCTGGCCTCACCTAAAAACACTGACAACAGCTCACATTTGGGAGAAGAGCCTTGCTTACCAGTTGATCATGACACACTTTCCAATCTGACAGATCTAAGCGTTTTATGGTACTAACCATTTTCTCAAGATATCATAGCCTTTACATTAAACCAATTCCTGTAGCAAAAAATAATTCATATCCAAGTGTAAATATAACAACATTTCACAAACAATTCTCCTTGAAAAACTGAACAAAAATATGAAAGGTTTTTGGTATTTAGAAGATTAATTTAAAGGAATTTTTTAAAAAAAATTATTTTAGAGAAAGAAAGGGAAAGACAGAAAGACCTCAGTGTAAGAGAGAAACATTGATTGGTTCTGACTGAAGCTCAAACCAATTGAGCCACACCAGCCAGGGCCCAGAGAAATTTTAATTACTATTTGAAAGAAGAAAGCTTATAAGGAATGGCCACAGGTAAACCCTGGGACCTTAACTCTAACTAGTTAAGATGGTAGGGTTGAGAAGCCCTTCCCTTGAAAATCTTCTCCATATAAAGTATACAGAGGAAACTGATCCCATATCTCAAAGCTATAGATTCTGACTGGAGAAAAGAGAAGGGGTAAGGAGGAACAAATAGGAAATAAGAGTAAATTAACAGGGCACTTTGTTATACAGTCAACAGCAAGTGAACCTGAATAGAGGAAAGTCAGTTTCATTGTGTCTACATTTCTTTTCATGCCAAAAATTCTAAAACAAATTAAATTACTAAAATAGCCAAGCTAATTTCCTATTAGCTCCAGCTGCTCCCTCTGTGCAGGGAAACAAAAATCAAGCTTGGTTCATTAAAACATAAAAGAGCAAACACATAAAATCCAGACTCCTAAAGAGGAAAACATTTTTAAGTTCAAACTACAATAAATACATGATCTAAGATTTGAAATCTTGAAAAAAATACACAAGACTTCAGTTTAAAAAAATGAATGCTAGACTAAAAACGATGATCAGTTTACAGGTATTTTTGGAATCACAATTTCATAACATATGCCCAACTTAAGTGACAGGTATAAAATGTCATTTCCTTTGGCATAGTTGGCTGAATCCATCAGAGATGCGGATAAGACTTACTCTGTATAACACTGAGTCCAAAGAGGTGACAGTCCTTTAGCCTGAGTAGGTCACACACCTGGACCAGCAACTGGTGACACAGAATTTTAACCTACAGGGGGGGAAAAATACAACTTGAGATAATAATTTAACCAAGTCCACATAGTGAGCCACAACTGGACAATTTAATGCATCCTAAACCAGTGATGGCGAACCTTTTGAGCTCGGCGTGTCAGCATTTTGAAAAACCCTAACTTAACTCTGGTGCCGTGTCACATATAGAAATTTTTTGATATTTGCAACCATAGTAAAACAAAGATTTATATTTTTGATATTTATTTTATATTTAAATGCCATTTAACAAAGAAAAATCAACCAAAAAAATGAGTTCACGTGTCACCTCTGACACGCGTGTCATAGGTTCGCCATCACTGTCCTAAACAGATTCCTGGAAAGGATAAGCTGACACTAGCAAAACAACTGTTGGGTTTATTGAAAGTGTCTACTTTGCCCTGTCCAGTCTGGCTCAGTGGATAGAGCACTGGCCTGAGGACTGAAGGGTCCCAGGTTTGATTCTGGTCAAGGGCACATGCCCAGGTTGCGGGCTCAATCCCCATTAGAGGGTGTACAGGAGGCAACCAATCAATGATTCCCTCTCATCACTGATGTTTCTGTCTCTCTCTCCCTCTCCCTTCCTCTCTGAAATCAATAAAAAAATATATACAGTAGGTTTTCAGGTTACGTCAGAGATCCATTCCTTCGGCGTGACATAATGCGATTTTCACCGTAAGTCAGAACCCACCTACATAAGCACCTACGTCACTCACATGGAGCACATACACAGCAGTAATGAAGTGAAACAGTAAAAAAAATTTAAAAGAAAGATAACAATTCCTGACCTTTACTTGTGGTAAATAAATAATAAAAAACATAAAGCACATATGTACATACGATGAAATGACAGAACTTTTTTTTAAATAAATAAATGGGAGATGGCGACATAACCATAAAACGACATACGTCGAGTCCTATGTAGCCCGAGGACTGTCTGTCTGTATGTATGTGTGTATGTATATATGTGTGTGTGTGTGTGTGTGTATATATATATATATATATATATATATATATATATGAGGTTCAGTGCATGAAAATTGTGCAAGAATAGGCCTTCCTTCCCCCAGCTGCTGGCACTAGCTTCCCTCTGGCACCCGAGACCTGGGCTTCCCTCTGGTCGCCGGCAGGCACCTGGGACCCAGGCTTCCCTCGCAGCCCAGGCTTCATCCAGAAGGTCTTCCGGAAGGACATCCAGCCTAATTAGCATACTATGCTTTTATTATTATAGATATATACAAAATCAACCACTTTAATCTGTGGCTGAGTTTCAATAATGATCACAATACAGATTTTTACACATGGTAATAAATTCCCAATGCAATCTGTAGAAAACTCATAAATCTTATGATACTTGGGCAAGGCCTTAGTCTAAACCCATTATGGTATGCGATAAATATTTCGGAAGGAACCCAAAACAGCCTACTCAGATTATCAAATTTGGCAAGTATAAGGAAAGTTTTCCTCGTGACGGCCTAAGCAAAATACTCATATATTGTACAATACATAAATGCCTAGCTCTTATGTATCTTAATTCATCATTTTATTATCTTATACTTTTAGGTACCTAAACCAGGTTCCCTTTCTGAATTCTAGTATAAATCAAACATCATAAAACCACATTAATTTGAAACCCTGGGAGTAAATTATTCTGAAAAGTCACATGTTGAATGATAAAACAGTCCTTAAAAGATATAGTTTTAAGGCTTCTCAAATATTTAATGAAGTGTTTTGGGAGATAGAAATTGTGCTGAGTATACCTTGTTGAATTCAGAATGACAAAAGATCATTAGAGTTGGAATTGACTTTAAGAGACCCAATTGGTCAACTGCTTCATTTTATAGAAATAAAAAAATAAGATCCAGAAAGCTTAAGGTCAAGTGACAAAGGCAGCAATTCACAACTTTGCTAATTTGTGTACTGTAATATGATTATTATATCTAATAAAGAGGGAATATGCTAATTGACCCTCACACCATCGCAAAGATGGCAGTGCCCACAGCCAATAAGGAGGGAATATGCTAATTGACTGCCACGTCCTCAAAGATGGTGGTGTCCACAGCCACAAGATGGCAGCGCCCAGTCCCCTCAGCCCCCCCAGCCGTCCAGATCTAGCCCAAGGCACAGGCAAGCCTTGGATGGCAGCCAGGGCCGGCCAAGGCTTGTGCTGCCGGCAGTGGCAGCAGCAGAGGTGTGATGGGGCGTCGCCTTCCCCTGAACGCTGGGTCGCCTCCCACCCCTCAGGGCTCCCGGACTGTGAGAGGGGGCAGGCCGGGCTGCCTCAGGGCTCCCGGACTGTGAGAGAATTTTCATGCACTGGGCCTCTAGTACATATATATTAAAGTATGTGCAACGTGACAGTTTATCATTTCAGCTCTATCTATTATGGGTGGCATTTCACTTCTTGTTTGTACTATAACTTGCAAATTCTGTCTTCAATGATAATATGACAATTATAGTTTTAATTACTATAAATTCTAAATTAGTTCATTCTGAATTAACGACTTTTTATCATTACCTTAATATGTAACTCAGATTCGGAGAATAAAAAGATGCTGAAATTCCTTGATAACTGACAGCCAAACAATTCAGAACAGTGAAAATGACAAACGGAGTGAGAAAAATAGGCTTGTTACTCTTTTCCACATCCATTACTAGCCGGCAACTCATCTACAGCACCTTATCCGCTGGAAAGCGCAAAAGGTCTTTATGTTAAGGCCAGAGACAAATTCAGGGGCTTAGGAAAGGTGTCCTATTTATACTCAGGACATACAGTAGGCTCTCTGTAAATATTTGATGAATGAAAGCCAGGAGTCTGATTTCCCTGTGCGCTCCTTTTGATCTGTCCCACGACTCTAGACTCCTCTCTGACCACCGAGTAGACAGACCATGTAGTAAATGGGAAAATGTGTGAATGCAGACCCACCAACACCACTGGGAGAACACATGTACCACTGGGAAACCATCATCCTCTTCATTCATTAAAAGGACTTTGGATTTTGGGTTCTATAGCACCATAATTCCACTTTACAAATACGCTTCAATAAGCAGACTGGTAGAGGGAAAAGTATCAGATGTTACATAAAACTGAACTATATACTACAAATTTGAGACTTAGAATGCAATACAGCCTAGGGCACCTTTAATTCTTAGTTTTGACACTGTAGCTAAAAATGTCATACACAGAGCTTTTAGGATAAAATGTGCTGAAAAGTTCACAGAAAAATTCTTAAATTCTTAAACCACAAACTGTCCATAAACATAACCTAGGTTGTATTGTGTAACTGCTGTTCAAATAATGCTGTACATTTCCTCCATACTTCCCATATAATTATTATTATTGTTGTTCTGCATGTTAAAATCAAGCACTTGGGAGCCTACTGATAAAGCTCTTTAACACTATCAGGTAAGCACAGTGTTCTTGTTTAAAAACTGCAATTAGCAGCGCTGTGCTCTGAAGTCTCACCTGCCCTGAGAACAAGCTTGGGCTTAGTATGAGTCTTCTACGGCAACACGTTAGCTGTTGTGAGATTGTTCATTATTTAATCTTCAGGAGCAATGGGAACTTTAAAAAGTGCTATAGAGTATGAGGTTTTAAGAATTAAGGCATTATCTAAAAATATACTCTACATGGAAGTTTTTGATAAAAACAGTATTTGATCCTAAATATCAATGGTTTCTTTTGAGCAGAAATGTTTAAAATATGTTCCAGAAAAGAAACCAAAAAAACTCTTCACTCTGGTCTTAGTGAAGAGGTACAAGCTCTTGGTCACAATTTACATCACTCAAAAATTTTGTGGCTCTTACATTTGGCATGATTTTATTTCCCAAATTTTCCAAGTTTCCACATTTAATATTTATCTGCTGATTAAAATAATTTAAAACAGCCCCTATCAATTTAACTCGTGGAGAATTCGGAATGATGAAGACACTAAACTTATCCCACCTGCAGAAGATAACATTCTATCAACTATGCTTCAGGGAGTAAACTGTCTTTGCTTAAAACATTATTTAAAAATGATAAAAAAAAATTAGACCATTAATGAAATAGATTTTGCTACAGTTAATTTGTGATACCACAACTCTACAAACATCAACTGCTATTTTCTGGCAACTTTGAATGGGGGTTGCTGGCAGTGAGGAGTTCCCACACTCCTTAGCCCAGGCCCTCCCTCCTTGATAGAGAGGAATCTGAACATGGCAAAGGGATCTACACACCCTGGAAGAAGAATAGGCCTAACAGAGTTCAGACTCTCCCTGTGAGTTTCATTAACAAGGCGCCCCAGCTGAAATGGGCAAACAGCTCAGAGTGCCTGGGCACTGTGCTTTATGCAGGTTCTATCTTTAAATCCTTGCAATGTCCCTGTGAGGAGAGTAAGATTATCTCCTTAAAGATGAGGAAACTGAAGCAAAAAATGAACTTGCCAAGGTGCAGAGCAAGTCGGGGACTATGGATTTTTACCTAGGTCCCTGTCACTCAAACCCTCCTCAGTTATGACAACATATGGCGCACAGTCCTGACGATCCTGTAGGAACTATTATACTAATTTTGCAGAAGAAGGGAATTAAAGAAGTGCAAAATTAATCTCTGAGTAAGAACTGAAAGTAATAATGCCAGCTATCATCTATGTATGAGAAATTATGCTATGTGTTAACCCTTAATTCTCACAATCACTCAGTACCACTGGTAACTATTCCCAATTTATAATAGGTGAAGATGTTGAAGCTGAGGGAGGTTTAATAAACTTTCCAAACATGGGATTTGAATTCAGGTCAGTGTGTGTTCAGTACATTCACAAAGTTCAGTACTTTTCACTACCATACTGCCCCTCAATTATTCTTCATAAAGGGAAGGCAGAAAGGGAGTTAATATAAATCAAATGCCTACTATGTGCTGAGTACTGGGCAAGTTGCTTTTGCAAGTGAGGAAGGTGAATGAGCTTAAGAAACTTGTCCAAAGGTCACAAAACTAGTAAAATGTAGAGTCAAAATATGAATAATCTTACATTTCTCAACAATGATGATAATTATATTACTAACAACTTACATTTACTCTGCCTTTACTATGTATTCTCAGGACAAGGCTATTAACACAATGTCAAAAACACAATTTGACACTATGTTAAGATCAATGGTGCCAGTAGTAAGATCTTTGATGATATTAGGGTATGAAGGTCTTTGACTGTCTGGCTTGACTTTAAAATATCTATAGCACCAGTTTAGGGGATCTTGTTAAATGCAGATTCCTGAGTCCTACCCTAGACTTACTACATCAGCATCTCCAAGGAGTGGAGTACAATGGTCTGAATATTTAAGGAGCTCACCAAATAATTCTGATGTACATTAAAATTTTAAAGCCACTGATGTACAACAATTAACAGATTGACTGTCTTCCAATCTGTTCTCTACAATTATCTTCCTCACCTGAGATTTTAGTACAAATTAATTTCCTAGAAAATTATAGTCAGCTTTTAGTATTTCTTATGAAGTCAGATTAATCTTCCTTCCACTTTACTGAGGTCAGTAAACTTTTGTTCCATATCCTGTATGTGTGTATATACATACACATGAACTCATGTGTACAGATTCCACCAGGTAAAATGATAGAAATGGAATTGAGAGAAGTATCTTAAGTGCTTACGCTATATGATTATGCATATTTTTAAAATTTAGTGGGTACATTTTTATATAACTGTGTAAAAGAACTGAAATAGCATACTCACATATATAAATAAATTACATTTTAATATATTTTGCCAGTGTCCACAGTGAAATAGAGATATGTAGCCAATTTTTATTAGTTTTTAAAAACCAAATGCTGCAAAAATAATAGTCTGTCATTTCACACATCAAAAACAGCACAGGTACCCTGAGTACCTCATCAATAGAAATTCTGCCCAACAGATGATAAAGTTAACTCAATAGGCAGGTTTGATTTTCAGACAACCCCTACAAGCAAAAACAAGGCTGCATTAGTAAATCAAGAAACTGTAGTGATTGTTAGGATAAAACCAAAACAGTTAATAAGCAAGAAACTTTCCCCATCTAAACTGCTTAACGAGGCTATTTAAATGCCATATATATTCAGTATGACATTTAGAAATATTCTTTTATACAGTAATTGAGTTAAAATATAGTAGCATATAGCAAAACAAAACAAAACAAAAAAAACTAATTCAAGGCAAGCGCTAAGGCAATTTCCCCCTTTAATTCCATCAGAATACAATCAATGAAAATTGATAATAAGGAGAGGAACTGAAAAATGCTAGGCATGCTATTGATTACCATAAAACTGTTTGGCAGTCTCTACCAAAGTTAAACGTATGTATACCTTGGGATCCACGATTCCACTCTTGGGTATAAGCCCAGAAATGTATGCATATATGCATACACATAAAATGTTCATAACATTTTTATTCATAATAGTCCAAAATTTAAAATAACCCAATACCCATCAACAATAGTTAAAGATATTGGCATATTCACACAACAGAATATTATACAACAATGAAAAAGAATTACTGTTACATGCAATAAAATAGATGAATTTCACAGGACAAATGTTGAGTGAAAGAAGCCCAATAGAAAAGAGAACATATCGCATAATGTCAGTGGCGTGGAGTTCCGAAACAAGCAAGATTACTCTACGGCGATAGAGGTGGGAATGGCTGTTACCCTTTGGGTGGAGATTTTTGACTAGGAAGAGTCACAAAAGGTCTTTCTGGGGTGCTGGCAATGGACTGTATCTCAAGTTGGATAATGGTTACAAGGATGTATACACTTGTAAAAATTCACTGAGCTGCATGCTTAAGATTCCTATACTTTGTTACATGTAACTTATAACTCAATTAAAAAAAATACTGTCATACTCCTCAATGTCCAGGTGAACTAAAGAGAATTAACTTTGACTCATGAAGCACAAGCAACAGTTCAATGTTCATAAGCACAACCTATTCAGGAAATTGGCTAGACTTAGGCTACTATTAAAACAATGATCAAAATACATTAAAAAGCTAGCAATTTATTACTATTTCATGTGTGTAGGTACAACTCAAAAGTATTTAAAAAGCAAATTCATATTATATATAAATATAAATTATATTTCAATCGAAAGTTTAAAAATAGCAGTGTTTGTTTTTCTATAACATAGTAGCCAAAATTCTCTCATTGCACCCTAGGTGAGAGGCTATTGAAGTCAGCGGCACTTCAGCCCTAATTCAGAGTTCATACCTGTGTGGACACTTTAGCACCCCAACCCGCCAGATTAATGATCTCTTTCTGTAATAACTTCACCCCTTAGTTAACCAAGTCAGAACGTGAATGTGGTCACGGGTGGGAACACAATTATTTAAACATTTCCAAGATGGGATCCACTCACATTGATGATGATGTTCAGAGACTTGTCATTGGGAAGGAAAATGCACACACTCCGGCGGTCTTGCATGACTCTGTTGTTACGGAAGTTCAGTTTGTTCATTGTGTGGGGGCCTCTCTAGCGGTCAGCGCTGGGCTCCGAGTCCCCGGCAACGCCGCTGCTTCCGAGAACGCCACAGCCAAACTCCGCTCCTCATCACACACTCTGTAGGAGAAGCACCATGATGTGGCACGATGGAGGTTTCACGGCTATAAAACAAAAAAGCCCAAATCAGGCGTGAATAAAGGCGGTGAGATTGGTGAGGAGAGACAGGGAGATGAGCAGCACAGGGACAGCGTGTCTCATAGCTAGGGCTGCCTAGAATAAATGAGAACTCCCTGAAATTCATTCTACATCTCGCCCACTAACGACTGCCTTAAAACTTTCATTCGCAATCAGGAATTAAACGTAAAGCCCTCACATCCCAGAGCTGCCTTTGAGGCGTTTTCAGCCTCACAGGACAGATAACAAAGGGCGTGGAAAAGAAGCAAAATGACAAAATAGCAACGACAACAACAAAGTTCTCAAACTCTTTTCTTCCGTTACAAACTCAAATAAATGTCTTGGCTCTGGCATGACATTCCTTCTTCAACCACTTTGGTCTGGCTTTCACCTCTTCCACGTCCCCCGCCTGGCTGGACGAAGAAGCCAGGGACCGCCAGGCCACCAGCAGTATCCGAGGAGGTGTAACGGATGTCTCTCTGACGTTTACCACGGCTGCTATGCCCTCCTTGCAACGTGTTTCTCCCTTTTATGGCACTGTTCTCTCCCAATTCTCTAACTTGACAATGCAAACAATTTTTCTATTTGTTATTTCACCAACCAATAAAATACAAAGAAACAACAAGACAGTATGTATCAAGCTGCTAGTACGTTTGTATACAAAAGAAATGTGGATTTTGGATATCTCTGACATCTAATCAGTTTATTCAACATGTTAATTTTATTTTTTTAACTTCTCTCAGATTTTCAATGTATATGATTTTATTTCCAAGCAATGAAAAGTTTCTCTCCAATTTTCAATAATTGTCTTTTTATTTCTGTTTCATGTCTCATTGCATTGGCAAGGCCTTGCAGAATAATTTTAAAACAGTGGTGGATATTTCCTACTTTTAAGGAGTGTGTCTAATACTTCATACCTTATTGCTAATATAACACTAGTCAACAAAGATATGTTAAGATTAGTTGCCTCTCAAACCATTAGCAATATTTATATTGTTCCTTTTTTAATACTGTTATATTTACATTGTTCCTATATTTGTGAGAAGCAAAAGAGAATTTCCAGGAATAGAGAACTGTTTTACCAAGCAGAGACTTATAACCATATAGCTTTAATAGAAAAGCTATTATCAGTGCTCACATAAATCAAAGTATAAATGAGACAGAATCTTGGTCGATTTGCTTCTTAAGGTTAATTGTCCATCTGTAACCAGCAGGAGGGTGGGAGAGAATATATTCTTTGTTAGCAGCAGGAGGGTGGGAGAGAATATACTCTTAGATGACACATGAATAAATATAAAATAGTATTTCCTTTTAAAGTACAAATGCCCAGCCAGGGTGGCTCGGTGGTTGAGCACTGACTCATGAACCAAGAGGTCACCGGTTCAATTCCCGGTCGGTCAGGGCACATGCCTACGCTGCAGGCTCCATCCCCAGTAGGGACGTACAGGAGGCAGCCAACAGATGTTTCTCTCTAATCGATGTTCCTATCTCTCTCCTTTCCCCCCCCCTCTCTCTAAAATTAATAAAAAAAAGATATTTAAAGTATAAATAATATACTATCCAAAAGGGAGCTACTCAAACTAAGTAAACACAAATGGTAATCTTATTTATAGCATTGCCTCCCTGGGACGGTGACCAAAAGCTCCCTTAGCAGTATTCTGCTTTTCCTAAAGGATAATAGCGATTGTTTCCCATTAGGTTGTAGCCAGCGCATCACCCGACAGGGTCACTGGAGGTCCCTGCTGCAGTTCTCTCCAGGAAGGGAGGGTTGATCCATGTGTTCTATGACCACAAACTCACCGCACCCGAATCCAATCACCGATTTAAATCATACACACTTTTAGTTCAGCGGCTCCAAAGCACCCATCGTAGGACCAGTGCTGGCTGCAGCGGGGTCACCTGGACATTTGTAATAAATACAGATCCTGAGCACAGTGACATTTCTACTCAGTCAGAATCTCCAGGGTCAGGGTCAGGGTCAGGGCCCAGAAACCTTAATCTTTTAAAAAAGCTCCCCAGCTATTTCTGATATACAGTCACATTTGGAAATCACACTTCAGTTAACAGAAGGAAGCACAGGGTTGGATACAATGCCTCCATAGTACACATCAGGAAGTACACATGTGAAGTATAAATTCCTAAAACAGGTCACATGTATATGTACACTCGGAACATTTTCCTGAAAAATGTCACTCGGTGATCTAGGAATAAGTAAATTGGCAAAGCAGGGTACCCTCTATATACGCTCTCAGAGAAATTCAGAAATAGTTGAAAGCTCTGATAAGTCCTGCAGGCAACTTTTTAAATTCATTCAACTTAATATTTCTCAAACTTACTTGGGCAGAGAATATTCCCCCACCCACCACATACCTATTAAGGTCCTGTAGAATAAAATTCTTAGGCATACTGCTTAAGAAACACAATTCTAAAATGATTTCCTTGTCAAGTATTACATTTCATGGCAAATTTCCCCCTCTGTATTAATACATTACAATCCTCTCTGCCATTAAAATCTTTTAAGAAATTATAAGCTATGCTTAAATGCATCTTATTTAAATTCAAACACTTAAGTGATATTAATCCCAGTATATTTCTTCTTATTTAAATCTACACTTCAAATTGAGTTCCTCCTATAATTTTCCAGTTCTAATTAAACCAATTAACCGGCGGTATTTCTCCTGACCTACTTTCTAGAATGAAAAGAAAAACGTAGGGGAAAAAATATATTCTGAGGTTTAGGATGTTTCCAATGCTTCGTTAATTATAAAATTTCATTTGAGTACAATTTTTATTTATTTCTTCGTTCAAATAATGCAGTAAAAAACCCCCACAAACTAAAAGAGGTTTACTGAAGAAAATCTAACAAAAGCAGAGTATTTAAGAAGCAGTAATGTTTCATTGCTGCTTTTTCTAGAAAGCTTTGAGGATGGCAAACTAAAAAAGCCCGAAAAGAGAGATAGGATTAAGTTTTTACTTTACCCAGAACTGCATTAAAGCTGATTAAAAGGTTCAACTGAAATAGCAAAATTACCAAATCTCTAATATGCTCCGGTATAAAATTTAATCTTAAATTGGACAGTCCTGGGGGAAAGAATTAACATTGATACCAATCTGAATTGTAGAAATAAGCCTTTTATCCACTGGCCACTTACTCTGTGTCCTAAATTTCAGTTCATTCCTGGGGGTGGGGTGGGGGGCACATTTCCTATTCCAGGGCAGCCTTTTTGCTGTCCAATGTTCTTAGGGTACATTATCTACAAAGAATAAACCATGTCATAATGTCATATTTCCCAGGCAACAACAAACAGCTTTACTAGTGGTCAAACTCTACCTTGCCATCTTTATTAATACCCAACTTACAAATGTTAAGCTATAAGATTCCCATACTTGGATTTTAAAGTCATATTATTATAAAGCCCTTATTTCCCGAGACGCACCATTGGTTACAAAGTTACTTCATTTCTTTTAAGAATCAGGAAGCCATTACATAGTATGGACATTCAATAGTGATTTCCATTTTTTGGAAATTACCTTTAAAACTGGGTCACCTTGGAATAAAAGTATGGACTTTAGTTCATCCTACAGGGTAGGGCAAAAGTAGGCTTATAGTTGTGAGTACACAAAGCAGTGTTTATTCTTGTATTATTTATTAATTATTGTATTATTTTCCACAGGAACAACTGTAAAACTATTTTTGCCCCCCTCCCCGTAATATAGCAAGATTGGTTCATTAGTTGTGATAAATGTACCATAGCCATGAGAGAGGTTACATGTGGGGTATATAGGAACTCCCAGTACTATCTTTGCAACTCCTGTGTATGTAAAAGTAGTCTACAATAAAAAGTTTATTTTCAAAAAATTAAGTAAATGGAAATTTCCTACCCACATATTATAATCTCAGTTTGAATGGAGGCAAAGAGAATTCTCAACTTTGAGATTGTCAACCTAAAAAAACTTGAAAGGATGGTAATTTGATAAGAAGATTATTATAAGGCAATCCAAACTACCTCCAGACACTGACAAATGTTCCCAGGTGCAAAATCACCCATAGTGAGAACAGATACTGTACAGCAAGCATGTCAAACTCGCGGCCCACAACGAATATTTTTGCAGCCCAGCCAATACAACGGAATGTAAGAAACGTTTTAATAAAAATTTTGTAACTTAATTGTTACAATATCCTGTTATACATAATTATTAATAACGAACTACAACGTTCGCTAATGACTGATTACTATAATTGTGTTGCATTCATCTCCCTTACACGCCTTATGTGCAGGTGCACCATTTCTCTCCACTAATACTAGCAGTGAATATTTTAGCAGCCGATTGCCACGTCATTAATCGTGGACTGACTTGTTTGGTGTGCGAAACAGGAAATGTTTTGAACAAGAAAAATAGGTTTATTTGCGTTATGCTTATTAATTTGTGCAGTTATTCAGTGTCTGGTAAGTTAATGTTCAAGAAAAAATATTAACTTTTATTAAAATGTTCTATTATTTTATGTTAACGATGACTCATTTATTTCAGCCCTTTGTATTCAGCATGTCTCTATCGAAATAAAGCTACGTTTCTATGAAAATTGAAGCTTTTGTTTTTTTGCGGCCCACATAAACTTAAACCTCGTTTATTTAGCCTGTGTTAGCCTTAGATTTTCACATGCTTGCTATACAGGTTTCCACAGAGAGTCATTATGGGCTCCTTCCTACCATCCAGCTGTTTTTTAAGGACAGGAGGTCCTCAAATGTTTCATTCGATGTCCTTTTCATTACAACATTGCTGAGAAAAAAAAACTGATTCCCAGTGGGGGCCACTGTCTGTGTGGAGTTTGCATTCTCCCCAAGGGTTTCCTGCGTAGGTTTTCTCTGGATACTCATGTCCTCCCACATCCCAAAGATGTGCACGTGAAGTAAACTGGCCTGTCTACATCAGCCCAGTCTCAGTGAGTGTGGGTGGGGGTGAGTGGCCCTCTGATGGAAGGGCTTCC